AAAATACGTATACATGGGGCTGAAGAATTGTCTCAGTGCGTGACGGCTGTTTCTGCCAAGCCTGGCAGCCTATGTTTGATCCCAGAAGCCAAGCCCATGTGGTGAGTGGAAACCAGCTTTCAAACATTGTCAGCTGACACCATGCATGTGTTAGCACACACAAATTTAAAAAAAAATTTTTTTTTTTTAAAAATCCATGGTAGTGCATGCTTTTGATACCCGCGCTGGAGAGGCAGGACCAGGAATACGAGATCGGTCTGTCTCAAGCTGGAATTAAGTCTACGTGAATAATGAAGATGGGGCTCTCCATGGTGACAGAGAAGTGAGGAAGATGAGCACATCTGAGAACTATTTGAGAGACGGGAGGGATTTGTGGAGGATGTCTTGGCTTCCCAGCAGGGTGAGTGGGTGGACTGAGAAATCTGAAAGCTGGGAAGTTGAGAGGGAGGATAATGGATTCAGTTTTCAGCGTGTTGGGTTTGCAGTGTCTGTGGGATGGCCGAATGGGCGTGGTTCCTAGGCAGTCGGATATGAATCTAAAGCACAAAGGTGGAGCCCAAGCCTGGAGGTGCAGGCCTCGGAGCCAGAACAGTGAGAGTCGATGAGATCATCAAGGAGAGAGCTTTAAGCCATGTAGGGGAATTTTGATGCAACCGAGAGGCAGAGACTGGCTTGCAGGTTATAAAAATATTCTACGTAAGAGCCAGGTGTGGTGGTACATGCCATCATTCCAGCACTGGGGAGGCTGAAGGAGAAACCCTATCAGCCTTGGATGCGTAGTGAACCCTTGTCAGAAATGGCAGGGCATGAGAAACCTGGATGCCAAGTGAGTGGGGGTGAAAGAAGAAAATGCAGAGGGCCAGTCCTGGAAGGAGGACCGGAGCCACACGAGTGGGGGCAGCAGTTCCCAGCCCAGCCGCTTTGAACAGTGGCAAGTACAGGAAAAGGGCCTGGAAGCCTTCCCAAGTTTGTCACCTTGAAGCGGCTGCTGTGGCTGGAGAGCGAGTGGGAGGTGAGGAAGCCGGGGTGGTTTTCTCAGAAAGCAAGAGGAAGGGCTGTTTTCTTCTGGGCCTCCTCTTCAGACTGGCGGCTTTAATACCTTTGCTCACTTTTCAACTGATGTGTATGTTTAGTTTTAATAGGTGCCATAGTTGTACAATATATGAAGTATATTTTATTTTTGTGCTTCAGGGGATTGAACCCAGGACCTTGAACAGCTAGGTAATTACTCTCACTGAATTATGTCCCCAGCCCTAAAATATCTAAAACTCCCAGCACTTAGGAGACAGAGGCAAGAGGATCATAAATTCAAGGTCAGCCAGGGCTATAAACATAGTAAGACTCTAAAGACTGTATGTGGGGTGTTTGTAAGAGAGTATGTAGGTAGGTAGGTAGGTATGCATAACAAAGTTGGGTTGCTGGTGGTGGTTTGAGACAGGATCTCTCATGCTCGGCTCAAAGTTAGGTTTCTTAACAAACAGTTTTAGGACTGGGTAATGACTCAGTAAAGTGCATAAATGGCGGGCACATAAGTGCACCTAAGATCCCAGTGCTGGGGAGGCATGGTGACAGGGATCCCTGGGGCTCGTTGGCTAGTCAGTGAGGGACGCTGCATCAAACAGTGGGAGATGTTTATGACACCCACCATCAGCTCTGACTTCCACACACATCCGTGCGTGTACACAGACACTTTCAGTAGAGGTTTAAATACAAGCATTAAGGAAGGAGTGCTTAGGAAAAAGACATTACATTCCCAAGACATAAGAGAGTTATGGCAAAAACCAAACTTGTGAAGAACTCAGAGTGCTTCCCCAGTCCCCTGCTTGCTCTGCAGCGCATTCTGATTGAGCCTGTTAGTTAGGCGTTCTCACCCCTCAGCCTCCCTCCTCCCCCTCTTCCCCCTCCTGCTCCTCCCCTTCATTTGGGGGTCAGACTGACTGCTAGTTGTCTGCCCCTCTGAAGCAGAGCCGCTGCATATGGGGAGCTCCCCTACGCTGTCCTCGCTTTTCACAACGGTTGTAAGTTCAGCTGTCCCTGGGGCCACACTCAGGTTTGATTTGCTGGGACTCCAACTCACTGATGGCTGTGGTTCTCCCTGCAGGGCAGCGTCCAGGTTTCCTAACACAGCTTCAGTTGTCTGTCCCAGTGAAGCCATGGACGGTGTCAGCTCCTAGCAGCGATGTGTCACTGTGTGCAGAGTATTGCCAGCCAGGGAATGAGGGCTTTATTGCATAGGTGTACCTAACTCTCCGCATGCCCGACCTCGGTGTCCAGCCCTGTTAGAAGTCAAGCTGATAACTCATGACCAAAAATCTCCCATCATAACTTATAGTTAGATCATCTGGTGTGACCTAAGATAGTAAATATCAGGCAGGGCATCTCAGGAGCCAAGGACAAGGTTATATATACCTCCCTCTGAACAGCCTTGAATTATTTAATACACAGGGACTTTTTTTTTAACTTAGGCAGTGTCTATCTCATATCTCATAGGGCAGTTGTAGAGATGCAATAAAACATTAGATCAAAGGGTTGCCATGGGCGGGTGAGACAGCTCAGGGGGTAACAGTGCCCGTCTTGCAAGCCTGACAACTGGGTTTGATGCTGATCCCACGGTGAAAGGAGAGAAAGCGTTCCCGAATGGCCTCTCACTTCCACACACTCACCTGCACTTTTAGACATACATCATGATCACCATCGTCGTCATCATAATTGGAGCTGGAGAACTGACTCACTGGTTAAGAGCCCTGACTGCTCTTCCAGATGACCTGAACTGGATTGTGAGTACCCATACGGCAGCGTAACTCCAGTCCCAGGGGATCTGGAAACCTCTTTGGCCCCTCGGGCACTGCACATATGTGCTGCACCAACCACATCAGGCAAAACACTCAGACACAGAATTTTTAAAAAATAATAGTAGAAATATTTTTAAATTGTCCTGAGGGCTGGAGAGATGGCTTAGTGGTTAACAGCACTGACTGTTCTAGAGGGCCTGGGTTCAGTTCCCAGGAGCACATGGAGATGGACATTGGTCTGTAACTTTCTCAGAGAACCCAGCATCCTCTTCTGGTCCCATGGATGCTACACACATGTGCACAGACTTTACATGAAGGCAGACTTTAAGTTTAGAAATAATAAAAGCTCAAAAATATTTTTAAAAAACTGGCTTGATATTTGTGAGACTTAAAGTTATGTATACCTCATTGTTCTTGGCTTAGATTTGAACTTTGTGCGCTGTCTAGTAATGGGGATACATTCTGAGAATCCCTTTGTTAGGCCGTCTCGTTGCTCTGCAGACACTGTAGAGTTTGCTTACACAAGGCCAGAAAGAATAGCTTGCTGCAGACCTAGACTGTGGGTATAAACCATTGTGTATGCTGTCTGTCACATTGACCAGAACACTACTGTACAGATATTTACAGTTTAAAATGCAGCCAGGGCACGAACCATGCGTATAATCCCAGCACTCAAGACACAGAGGTGGGGGAATCCGGAGTTTAAGGTCATCCTCAGCTACATGTGGAGTTCAGTACCAGCCTGGACCACATGAGACCCTATTTAAAAAACAAAAAAAAAAAAGAAATTATCATTCTGTTTGACAGTTAAGTTGCTGCTGGCTGTCAGTAGTGTTGGAGGGTAACACCAACGCCACCAACATGGCGGGTGATGGAACGGGACCAGTTGATCTTAACTGGTCTTTAGAATTGTCAAATGCAGGAAATGCAGGGGTAGCTTGGAAGCCTACAAGAGGAAATTGGGTTTAAAGGTGAGCACCGTATCTGTCTATCCTTGTACAGTATCTACTTAGATCACACTATACATTATAATAGATACTATATTTTGATGATGAAAAATTGGGGTTCTGAAAGATTATTTCATTGATAGTAAAGTGAAAAGAATAAAAGTACCAATCGCGTTCGGTTATTTTGAGTGATAAATGGGAAAATTGAACCTAGCAGGGGTAAGAGGTTTGTGTAAGGGAGCCCTTTTAATGATTTGTTTATTTTTATGGGAGCCCTTTTAATGATTTATTTATTTTTATTTTATACACATTGATGTTTTGCTGCCTGCATGTCTGTGGGTGCTGGGAATTGAACCCAGGTCCTTTGTTAGAACAGCCAGTGCTGTCAGCTGCTGACCATCTCTCCAGTCCCTGTTATATAGTTTTATAAATCCCAATAGATAAGAATAAAATTAGTCTTGGTAACTGGGCGGCACCTTTAATCCTAGCACTTGGGAGGCAGAGTTCCAGACTGGAGTCCAGCCTGGTCTACATAGGACAGCCAGGGTTACACCATGAAACCCTGTTTTGGAAAACAAACAAACAAAAACTTGGGGCTAGAGAAATGGCTGCAGAAGACCCAAGTTCCTGAATTCACATGAGAGCTTTTACATTGCCTATAACTGCAACCCCAGAGGCCCAGCAGCCTGCTCTGGCCTCATGTGCACATACCCACACAGACATGAACACATACATACAAAATTTAAAATTGAAAGCTAAATCTTTAAAAGAAATTAATCGTGCTGGGCATTTCCAATGCACGCCTTTAATTCCAACTCTGAGGAGGCAGAGGCAGGCCTGATCTACATAGTGAGTTCCAAGACACCCGGAAAAAGAAATTAGTCTTGTGAAATGTGACGCAAAATACATCGTAAGTTCATTAACATAAACTTTTTAAATCTACTGCAACTGTCACATTAAAAATAAAGCTTGGATGTACTTATTCCTGCCCTATTGAAGTAAATTTCTATAGTAAGATGTTTTTACTCTAGCTGGGCATAGTGGCACACGACTTTAATCCCAGAATCTGGGAGTCAGAGACAGGCAGATCTGTGTGAATTCCAGGCCAGCCAGGGCTATACGGGGAGACTCTGTTTTCAGAAAGAAAGAAAAAGAAAGATACTTTTATTCACTAACTTTAGGTGTGCGTGCGTGCGTGCGTGTGTGTGTGTGTGTGCCCCTTTTTGCTTTATGTGTTAAGCATTTTTTCATTTAATTCCAGATTTAAACCACCACCATGTCGAGCAAAAAGGCCAAGACCAAGACCACCAAGAAGCGCCCTCAGCGCGCAACATCCAATGTGTTCGCCATGTTTGACCAGTCCCAGATCCAAGAGTTCAAAGAGGCCTTCAACATGATCGACCAGAACCGGGATGGCTTCATCGACAAGGAGGACTTGCATGACATGCTCGCTTCTCTAGGTAGCCTTCTGTGCCTTTTCCCTGGTGGTGATCCATCTCTGAGCCATTTGTCTTGTGATTCAATTCTTGGGCCATTTGGCCTTTGAAAAGCTTTCAGGTGTGTGGGGGGGCTTTTCAGGGCTGGGTGAGGGGGAAATCAGCTCTAGTGGGGACCTGGCAGATACTGTTCCTCTTAGCTTAAGTTGATTGTGCCTGTGTGAGCCCGAAGGGTGTGTGTGTGTGCGCGCACGCATGCGTTTGATCATGCTGGTGGCTGTGTGCAGAAGACCAGAAGTCGCAGTAACAAACGCAGCTAATAATCTTCTGTGGGTGGAGGACGGGCCATGAGCAAATGAACAAAGAGGAAGCACTTCATAACCAAAAATGGCTACTCAAAGATGGACCCCCGGGAAAGAGACTTCCACAGTAATTTTTTTTTAAATATTTTTTTATTTACTTTGTATACAATATTCTGTCTGTGTGTATGCCTGCAGGCCAGAAGAGGGAATCAGACCTCATTATAGATGGTTGTGAGCCACCATGTGGTTGCTGGGAATTGAACTCAGGACGTTTGGAAGAGCAGGCAATGCTCTTAACCACTGCGCCATCTCTCCAGCCCAGTAATTTTTTTTATAATTTAAAAAGAAAGAAAGAAATTGAATTTTTTCCCCCTAAAAACCATAGATGGGTGCTCTGATGAGATGGCTCAGCAGGTTAAAGGTGTGTGCTGCCGAGCCTGTCTTCATTGTGAGCCCCAGGGTGGAGAGACCTGGCTCTTGGACATTGTCCTCCACGTGTGCTCCACAGCCCTGGTACACACACATTCATATGTGCACCACCAACAGACCACACACACACACACACATACACCGTATGCGTGTGCACTTTTTTTTTTAAGATTTCTTTATTTATTATGCATACAACATTCCTTCCATGTTTGCTTGCATGCCAGAAGAGGGCACCAGATCTCATTATAGATGGTTGTCAGCCACCATGTTGGGAATTGAACTCAGGACCTCTGGAAGAGCAGTCAGTGCTCTTAACCTCTGAGCCATCTCTCCAGCCCCCTGGTTTTAGTTTTTTGAGACAGGGTTTCTCTGTGTGGTTGTCCTGGGACTCGCTCTGTAGACCAGACCTCCTTTGCTTCCCTAGTGCTAAGATTAAAGGTATATGCCACCACACCCGGCCACACACACACATTTTTATAAAGATCCATTTTAGATTCCTGTTTCGCGCTGAGAACTCTCTTGAACCTCTGGGTTACAATCACCCTGCGCTCTACCACTAGAAGGCCGCAGGACAATTAGATTTGCTCTCCAAACAGGGAATTGGGGTTTTGTTTGTTTTTTGAGACTGGGTTTCTCTGTAGCTTTTGGAGCCTGTCCTGGAACTCTCTGTATATCGGGCTGGCCTTGAACTCACTTGCTCAGTGGCTCCTGTAGTACAGATAAGCTAAGTGGGTGTAGTGAGGTGGATTTGCCAGGCAGTGAAATAGCCGTCCATGTGTTTCTTAGATGTCCCCTAAGTTCTAGACTGGACTGCTATCAGCGTCTAGTTTGGCATAGTTCTAAGATGCTCCTTTAGATCTGAAGACCCAGCCAACACGTTCTTTTCATGTGTGTCAACTTGGTGTCCGAAGGGACCTTCAAGATACTGGCTTTAGCCAGCCCTTTTCACAGGTTAAGATTAAAGGTGGTTGTGTGGGCCGGCTGGCACTAACCTCAATGTCTGGAGAGCTGGGTTTGAGTTCCAGTTCTTCCACCTTCTCCAGACCTCATAGCCAATTGGTGAACTGGTTTCAAGACCTTTTCTGTGGGGAGCTCTACAGCTGCTTCCCCTCCCTGTCAGGTCTCCGGCCACTGTCCTGAGAGCTGTTTTCAGTAGGAACTGAGATCAGGATTCTCTTTACAAACAAGACGGTGAGCACCCCATGGTGGCTTATCTGTCAGCAAGCAGGAGGATGAGACAGGAGAGTCGCTGAGAATCTGAGGCCAACCTGGGCTATAGATCAGACGTGCCCCCACCCCATCCCACCCCAACAGAAAAGAAGACACCAGTCAGCAGCGTATAGAAGTGGCACTTGGGGCTGACCGTGCTTTACTTAATTTTGTTCAAAAGACGTTCCCAGTCCCAAACTGACCTAATAATTTTAACGTAAATGATCAGCTTATAAATAATTTTTAAGCATACCAAATCACATGCAATTGTATCATAATTAAAAATATTAATGTCAGTTTTTTTGTTTTATTATTTTGGTTTTTCGGGACACGATGTCTCTGTGTAATAGTTCTGGAACTCACTTTGTAGACCGTGCTGACCTGGAACTCACTGAGATCCACCTGCCTCTGCCTCCCAAGTGCTGGGATTAAAGGCGTGTGCTGCCTGTTGATTTTTTTTTTTTAAATAACTGATATTAAAATAACAATCCCTGGTGAACCAGTGTAGAATCAACATGTGTGGTGTTCCCTGTCAAAACTTGAGACTTTTGGGGTTTTGTTTTTTAACAAAAAGTGATGAAGAAGCTGGCAAGATGGCTCAGCACGGAAAGGTGCTTATGTCCAGAGCCTGTGGGGTTTGGTCCCTGGAGCCCTTGTGGAAAGAGAGAACCAACCAACTCCTGAAGGTTGTTCTCAGGCCTCCACACATGTGACATGGCGCGTGAACACAGAGTAATGTGATGGACCCTTTTAACAGTGTGGCTGACAGCATAGGAGCAGCCAGGCGAGCCACATGACATGGGTTTATGTGTCCTCTTACAGGCAAGAATCCCACCGACGCCTACCTGGATGCCATGATGAATGAGGCCCCGGGCCCTATCAACTTCACCATGTTCCTCACCATGTTTGGAGAGAAACTGAATGGCACAGATCCCGAGGATGTCATCCGAAACGCCTTCGCTTGCTTTGATGAGGAAGCAACAGGTAAATGGCATGTTTGTGGCCAGCCTCATTTAGGGTATATGGAGCACATTTAGGACATGTTTTTAATGTGTAATTTTTTTAATTAAAACAAAAAGAAAACCCTGTTTTTAAAATAGGAATACACCAGGAATGGCCTTGTCACGTATCTGTCGTAGGCCATGAAACTACAGCTTACCTTGTTCCCCTCGGAATTTGACTTCGAGCTTCCCAGAGCAGTCGTAAGAATTTAGGGTCCTTTATGTCCTTAGATGAAAGCTGTTCAGAGACCCTGGCCTCTCTAGAAGGCATAGTTCCTAGCGTGAGCATTTGAAGTGTTGTGTGTCTCTGGAGTTACTTCAGGGTTTCTCTGTTTTATCTTCATTTTCCTGCCCCTTTGGAGAAGCACGCTTTGACATGAAACCCTCCAGTCCTACCTTCCTTCCTTCCCATCCCTTCTTCCTTCAGTCGCCCTCCTTTTCCTCTGCTTGGCCTCACCATCTCCTGGAGTCTCGCTCGCTCCTGCCTGGCTTTTCTCCCTGAGTCATTGATCTGGGTGGCATTGCCATTGTTCTGGGAAGCCACCACTTATTATTATTTGACTTTTTATTTCTAAACTGTGGTTTTTAAAATGATTTATTTGTGTGTGTGTGTATGAATATTGTGTGTGTGTGCGTGTGTGCATGCATGTTTAGTGCCGTCAGGCCAGAAGAGGGCATAAGATCCCTTGAAACTGCAGTTCCAGGTTAGATTGTGAACTGCTATGTGGATGCTGGAAATCATCCCGGGTTCTCTGAAAGCAGCCTGTGCTCTTAACCGCAGAGCCGTCTCTCTGCTTTGAAGCTTTTAACATAATTTAGTATTAATGAAAACTCCAAAGCGATTGGGATGGGAAGCAGTGGTGCAGTTACGTGTGTTGTGGCTGAGTGTGTGGTAGACGACGAGTTTGCGGAAACAGGACACTGGAATCATGACGTGTCCTGTACTTGGGTATCTGTGAGTCCATCCCTTGTTGCCCTCCAGGCACCATCCAGGAGGATTACCTGAGGGAGCTGCTGACAACCATGGGCGATCGCTTCACAGATGAGGAAGTGGATGAGCTCTACAGGGAGGCCCCCATTGACAAAAAGGGCAATTTCAACTACATCGAGTTCACACGCATCCTCAAGCACGGAGCAAAAGACAAAGATGACTGAAGCACTCCAGCGGGAGCTCCTGTCACGTGACCCTCTCACTTCCTTCTCAGATTCTCCCCCCCCTCCACCTGTAGGACCTTCTGCATGCCACTTAGTTCCACAGCTTTGCCACTTTTGTCATGTATTTATTTCAGACTTTTCTGTCATTTAGCATTTGTATAATCAGACTGGAAATGGGGACAATGCTGTAAATTGTGTTGAAAATGCCATGCGAATAAAAATCAACAATGTGAAAGCCCAGGAAAATATATCCATAGTTCTGGTTTGCTGGATTTTTTACATTTTTATATAATAAAAATGTTATTTTGAAATAAAGATTATGCTGACTCAAATGGAGTATAAGACAAATGAGTGATAGTTTGGGGTAGCCCTTCCTTCAGGTTTCCAACTTTGTCAAATGCAGACTATAATTTTCACATCCCTGGGACAGTGTTCCTCAGAACTTTTAAATCACTTTAGCATCTTCAAAAGCTTTGCTTCTTAAGGGGGCATCTGTTAAGTGCTAGGCATAGAGTGTTGTCTTCCAGAGCAGAGTTTCCATTGCTGTGATGTCAGCGCATGTCGTTCTGGAGAAGCACTTCCTGTGTGCAGCATGCACCTCCACGGTTCTCAGAGCACCTTCACCCCAGTTTGCTGAGACGGGCTGTTAGCTGACTGCACTGGTTGCTGGGTGTTGAGCATACTGTACCCCAGAGCCACACCCCCAGCTGCTTGCTCTCTTGTAAGTTGGGGTTGGGAGTGAGGGCTAAGTAACCAACTCTTGGGTCACTGTTGGTGAGAGTCACGGTTCTGTTTTACCAAAAGTGCCAACACATTCCGTTTCACTGAATTCAGAACTCAGTGGTCATTGTTGACATTTAAAATCATCTCGCAGCAAGACAATTGTTTGAATTTTTTTCAGAGGATTTATCCCAGGGAGAAAGCAAAAGACAAAAATACACAGACTGGGGTGTGGCTTGGTGTGAGTCCTGTGCTCAGCATATGCAAGGCCTTGTGTTCAAACCTCGGTGATAAAAAGGACATTACAAGCAATTATAGATGTGCTTCTGTAGACTTAGGGAAGGAGACAAAGGCAGACTAAAAGTACTTAGAAGAGGAAGTTTGATGACAGTGACACCTATTTCTCCTAAACGTTGCTCAAAACCAGCATGCGCACTGCGTGCTTGCCTGTGTCTTGTAACTCGGTGCAGCACCCTGGCCTGCTTTCTCCTGTCCTTTCACCACCTGAGCTCTTCCCTCACCCTTAGATGAGACTGTGTTCAGCTCAGGAGGACGCATGGGTAAGCCAAAGGGGAAATTACTGAAGTTACTACTACTCATTGATAGAAGTTGAGAAAAGCTGAACTCCCCTCCAGAACCATGAGGAATCCTGAGCGTTCCTGTGAGGCTCCTGTTAACACTTAGATCTCTAGGTCACTACGACATGTCACAAAACTAAGTGAATTGTCATGTAGGTAAAGCAAGGCAGCAGTAGACACCAAGCCATTTATCCAGTCAGGACCTGTTGTTACCCAGCAAGCTCTTGTGTTGCTCACCAAAGGCCCAGACAGGAGACACAAGGGTCTGGTTCCAGGCAGAGGCACCATAAATACCGCGTGGTAGTGAAGAACACTACGCGGCAGAGAATGGCCAGAAACGGTCCCTAAGAGCTATGGCCAAGTTGAAGTCTGCTCAACAGGGTCCCTGTGCAAAACCCAGGATGAGACTATCCATTCAGGAGACAACTCCCAAGTCACAGTGGCATGCAGTAAGGATAGCACGATGCTCTCAAGTTGTCATCAATGGTAGGGAATCCATGACTTTAGGTTGGAAAATAACATGGTTAGTGTTTGAAAAACTCATTGTAGCTGTACATAGAATTAAGTTACAAGGAAGACCCTGGGCAGCTAGGGAGCCATAGCTAGCATCCAGAGGAGATGTAGCCACTTGGCTGGGCTAATGGGGGCGTGGCTGACCTTGGTCCACTGACCTCCAGTCTGACTGCCTTGTTACGACTGTAAGTTCATTTCATCAGTCTGCTAAAAAGATCGGAAAGAATGCTGTAGAGTACCGGGAGACAAAGTAGAATCACTGTCCAACAAATAACCCTTGGTGCTGAATCCAGTGTCACTTTCTGAGAACCTCATTGATCCCATGACCATTGGAATGTGTATGTGTATAAACCTCTTAAATGGCATGGAGGGGCCTGAGGATGTAGCTCATTAGTAGAGTTCTTGCTTAGTATTTATTCATGGAGCCTCAAGTTCCATCTCCAACACTGCATACAAATACAAGTGTCAGCTCAAGCCTATGATCAGGGAGGAGGATCAAAAGTTCAAGGTCATCTTGGATAGTAGTGTTTGAGGCTTGCCTGGCCTATGTGAGACCCTGCCTCAATAAACAAAATGTACTGAGCATTTTCCGGTTGTTGCAGGAAATGATAAAATCTGCCGCTAGGTGGAGACATGCCGTCCTCCTGCTTCTACCCCAGCTTATGGAGAGATGGTTAAGAACACTTGCTGTTACCAAGCGGTGCTGGCGCACTCAGGAGGCAGAGGCAGGGGGATTTCCGTGAGTTTGAGGCCAGCCTGGTCTACAGAGTGAGTTCCAGGACAGGTTCTAAAGCTATACAGAGAAACCCTGTCTCAAAAAAAACAAAAGAATGTTTCTTGTAGAGGAATGGGTACCTGTACCCACATCAGGCAGCTCACGACTGCCTGTAAATCCAAGTTCAGGGACTCTAATGCCCACTTTGGACTTCTGTGGGGATATATACACACAGACACATGAATTAAGTCTCAAGAAGAAAAGAATTCATCTAAAGTCAGATCTGATGTCAAAGACCTTTAATCCCAGCACTCAGGAGGCAGAGGCAGTAGGATTACTTGAGCTCCAGTCCAGCCTGGTCTACATAACCACTTCCAGACAAACCTGGGCTACTCTGTGAGACTCTATCTCAAACAAACAAACAATGGTTAATCCAATTGGGCAGGTTAATCCCTTGTCCAGGTGTCCAACCCTCAAAAGGCAGGTCTACCCTAAACTATGCTAAAGGGGTAAGAGAATAGCCATCCCTTTCGTGAGCCACCACATGTCCTGAGTCCCTGCCCTCCATGCTGCTTGGAAGCTAGCAGCTGGTGTGAGGCTCTGTTGGGTCTGCCCACTTTTTGCCATTCTGACTCTCAGAAAGGCATAACCTTTCCTTTTCTTCTCTTCTGTCTTCCTTTTGGATGCTGACCAGAGCCTATGTGCTTTTTCTGGGGCTTCTGGCTTCCGTACTCTTTCTCCAACGCTCCCCTCTCTCTGCCGGGTGGCCGCTGGTCCACCTTGTGGCTCATCTCCATGAAGCCTTAACTCACATGGCTTCCGCTCCTCCTCTTCTCTGCCCTTCCCGGCAGCTGCTGGGGTTCACAATGTGTTTCTCTTGGGAGTTTTATTTCAAACCCTAATAAAATCATCTTTAAGCTCCCCTATGAGTCTGTTCCTAAATCATCTTACTAGTGGAACTTAGAACCCCAAGAAGGGACCCGGTTTCTCTGCTATCACTCTGCTGAGTGTGATAACCAGCTCCCTCCAGGAGGGGCCCAGGAGAGTGGTGGTCTGAAAAGGCACTGCCACTTTGTTATCCTTGAACAGAAGTTATAAAAGCCTTAGTCACGGCATTTTTTGTTTCCAGAACACTAGGACATGGATAATGTAGGCATCGTTAGCTCATTTTCTGGGTGATATTATTGAACGACCGAAGTTACCTGGTTTGTCCAACTTTACTTGCTAGACAAAGTCGAGGTTCTAAGCTTTCTGACCAAACCATTAAGCCTATAATTTCCTAATTAAATAATTGGTATCTCTAGCCCGATCAAGATGCTTTCCAGTTATAAGGGAGCTAAAATTTCTCCCTGTTCTTTAAACCTCACTAGCATGACTCACTGGGTGTCTTAGTTGGGGTTTCTATTTTCGTAAAGAAACACTATGACCAAACAAAACATCTTGGGGAGGAAAGGGTTTATCTTGCTCACAGCTCCACATAACAGTTCATCAAAAGTTGTGAGGACAGGAACTCAAGCAGGGCAGGATCCTGGAGGCAGAAGCTGCTGCAGAGGCCATGGAGGGGTGCTGCTCACTGGCTTGCTCATGGCTTGCTCAGCCTGCTTTCTTATAGAACCCAGGACCCCCAGCCCAGGGATGGCTCCACCCACTATGGGCTGGGCCTCCCCCATTAATCACTAATTAAGAAAATGCTCTACAGCCAGATCTTCTGGAGGTGTTTTCTCAGCTGAGGTCCCTTCTCTCAGAAGACTCTAGTGTTGTATGATATTTGATCACACTGTGAAACTCCAAGACTGTGTGAATAAAATTAACCTTGGATCAGGGGGCTGAGCCAGTGACTGATTGACAGGAATTAGCCATAGATGTGCCTAGAGAGACACACAGGAAGGAGTAGGGAGGGCCTTGGAGATGCCTGGTCATTTTGGTTTGGGATGGGTGGAGAGAAACTCTCTTCCTAGGTCTCTGGCCAAGGAAGGTCAGCTGGCTGCTTGTTGGCTTCTGTGATCTAGCAGGTCTTCACCCAGCATCTGCCTCCTGAGTCTTTACTGGTAAATAGAACAACTTAGATGAAAACAACACCCCAGCTTATATGAAGCTGACATAAAACTGCCAGGACACTGGCGAGACTGCCAGTGGGACCTGTGCGGAAATCTATCTGCAGGCCCCTACAGCCTCGCAGGAGAGTGCGGAAATCTATCTGCAGGCCCCTACAGCCTCGCAGGAGACTCGAGACAGGTGTCTACCATCCAGTCTGAACAGGGCTGAGGCTTCGGAGGGGGTGGAGAGGTGCTGACAGGGTTTAGAAGGCTGTAGGGAGGAAATCTCTGGCAGACACAAAGAACAAGAGCATATCTTGTTTTACAGATATGTGCTTCCAGGGAGCAGCCTCTAGAGGAACAGGTCATAGCCCGGGGCAGAAGCTGCTCTGGGCTCACTGTGGTCCTTTGGCCTCTTTTCCTGGTCTCAGATCTTTCCTAGAATGCTCTTTACATTTTGTTTTTCGGAGCAAACTTCAGCTTGCCTCTGCCTTTTTGTGATTCAGGCAGCATCCTTAAGCCCTAGGCAGTGAGGCATTTATTACTCCTGTGTGCACTAACATAATCAATGCGTAGATTACTGTCTAGGCTGATAAGTAATTCTATCAGTATTATACGTTACAGGGGGTGGAGAAGGGGTTCAACAGTTAAGAGCACTTGTTTCTCTTGCAGAAGACCCAGGTTCGGTTCCAGTACCATGGCTTATGATCAGCTGTGACTCTAATTCTAGGTGCTCCTACTCCGTCTTCTGGCCTCCTTGAGCACCAGGT